TGGTTCTAAGATTCTGTCTTGGCATTTTGTCAAGAAGTCTAGTATTTGAATTGTAAGCCATACACTCAAATCTTACCCACAAAGCCCTTCTCAGAGTCATACAAAAGGACAGGAGTTTGGGTAGAATTTTCTCAATGATTCTGCACCCAGTTGGTGTGAGCAAAGACCCCCAAACGCTATTAAACTCCTTAGTGATGTGAACCAGATGGAAAATAAAACAAAAGAATTCACAACTCATGTTAGACTGAATTGAATGTCTTTAATTTCACACAATGAATAACATATGAATAGGATTAACTTTTTTTTTCCTTTTCCTTTTTTTCTTTTTTTAATAGTTAAGTGCTCTATACTGTGCTAACCTGATCTGGTAGCGAAAAAGACTGAGCTTTCTTTTAGAAAAAAATGTTTAAAACCCAACATCTAAGACCATGGAGGAGCATGACAGGAAAGCATGCCAGATGTAGCTACGCCTCAAATAACAGTAAGTCCATGTTCATTTTAAATGTACAAAAATGCTTTATGAATAAAAACCGTTACAAAAAGAACATTTCAAACCATGTACAATTTTTCTTGCCTCTATATTCAATAAAATACAAATACATTTTTGTTCTAAAATATGTTTACATACAATCAAAGTAGGACATGCAAATTACACTTTAAAAAAGGCTTTTAAAAACCACTTATGAATACAAACTAAAAATTAGCCAGCACGACTTGTAAGACAATCTTGTGCCCCAATTTTTTTTCCTTTTGAAATATATATATACATATTTAACACATCATGTGCATTTATTATTATTTAAGAAATAGATTTTTTTTTTTAAAAAAAAAAGAAGAAAGAAAAAAAAACCAAAAAACCCAACAAAACAACAAGCTCACAAAAGAAGACACCGGCATAGGGTGAAACTGCCCTCCCATGCTAACTGATTGGCAGTTCGTTTTTATTTTCCCCCTTTTAGTGTTTATGATACCTGGGCAGGTGGGCAAGAGATATCCAGGAAGTTTCTTCCTTGGTTGATATGTGCTTCTAAGACTGTTCCCCAAATGACTGAGCCCAAAAGGGAAGCAAGACTCATCAGTGGGGCAAACTCTCCAAGAAACGAAAGGCAAGGGGAAGCCTTGGGTTGTGGAAAGAAACTTTTAAGAAACACCGAGAAAAATGTTACGGTATAGTACAGTTCGAGTTTCTAGGCACTGTGATGACATTATCTGTAAGCTCTGGCATTTGGACCGCTGTGACACTACAGGGTACGGTAGAGAAGAACGTCTATATTTAGCTACTTTTACATAATGAGAAGGACGGAAAAAATCTTGCAACGTAACACTTAAATGGCTTCTTGAGGCATTTGAGCTTCTGCCACCCCTTCTCTCTCTCTCCATGCGACAGTTGGCATTTAAAGGCTTTGGAAGTATATGGATAGACTGTTGACAGTTCCCAGGTAAAATCTTCCTGGTGGTGGGGAAGAAAGGAAAATAGTCTCCAAAAGTTATCATCTGAATATTGTGGGGTAATAAGCTGAAGGGGTGGGATTTTCTACTTAAGTCTTAAACCAAATCCTTTATGATCTGCATGTAGTACATCACCTTATACTATTACTCTGTCATCACTTGCTTATCATATTTATAGACCCAGCAATGCGCAGCACACACATTGCGACTGCCGTCAAACATGGCCTGCCACTCCGGACAGCAGCCAAGTTAACATGCTAATCCATTGTCAGCCCTTAGTCACCTTTTCTGGGCTGTCACTGGTGGCTAAGTCCCGGTCCTGCCAAATCACAAACCAGCCCGACACCGGCTCTTTTCCATCAGCCTTTCTTGGTTGGGCTGGAGCCAGAGCTGAGCTATTAAGAGAAAGTCAGACATTTTTGAGATCAGAGCTTGAGAAGCAAGTGATCTCCCCAGCCACTCTGGACAGAAACTCAGAGGTTCATGTCTTGGGGGAGAGTTTTCTATCTAGATTTAGTCCTTTTCTCACCCTACTTCCTCTATTCTAACTGGGTTCATGCATGCTTGCTTAAGACAAGTATGCTAAGAAAAACCTAATAAAACCCAAAAGGTTTCCCTTGATCAGAAATACTATGTAGAGCTGTATAAGGTGTCTTGTGTATCCTAAATGGCTGCATCTCACAGTGACAATGCAGCCAGGGTAGGCAGTGTTGTGTGGCCAAACACCTCCACAGTTCAGGACAAGGGAGCTGGGGTCTCATTTTGACTCTGCAACCAACTAGCTGTGAAATTAGCATGGCCCAATGTTGGGTCTTGGCAGGGGAGGAGATGCGAATGGAAAAGGGGCAGATGGGGAATAAAAAGATGGTTGTCCCAATGAGTCAAGTTAACGGAAAATAAACAAACAATGCTAGTAAGTGAGGAAGGTGGAGGGAGGATGCCCTGTAAGTGATGGATTTTCATCCACCTCCCAGCAGCTGAGGAGTTGGATACCAGGCCTCAGCTAGATCTTCTACAGTTTTCCAATTTCCTCTTAGAGCATTCATGAAGCTTTGCATTTAAAACACATGAAGAGTGCAGACCCAAAGTGACCCTTAAGTTACAATGTGGCTATATTTCTCCTGGAATACCTTTCAATGGCTTGGAATTTGTAATGCATCCCAAGGTTACTTGGAATTTCTCACTTATTAGAGGTTAATACCAATGAAGCTTTGGCTCCGCTTTTAAGAGTCTTGCACAGTGTGTGTGTGTGTTGGGAATATGCCAGTGAATTTTCCCAGGCAGAGAGATTTATGGAGTCTGATCACACACTGGCATGGAGTGACAAAGGAAGACAGGCGAAAGAAAAATGGAAATGGATTTCAAAACCCACCAGGAAGAGAAATGGCTTTATGGCTTAACTGCCATGAAAATGCTTCCTCTTTGCAATGGTGAGGTGAGTGGGACTAATACCAGTCTTTCTCTTGAGTGATTCTGGGACCATTCAGACATAGCTTGGGGATGGCAAATTCAACGTGGGTTGGTTTGATTTTGCTGGCCAACTTGTGGGAAATGCCAAAGGTCAATCTAGGTCCCAAACTGACTATCTAGGACATAAGCTTTAAAGGACAGAGAACGCAGTCCTCTTACAGATTGCTGGGACTAAGTGTAGCTGACCTACTGGGTAGCAGCTGATTGGGAAATTTTCCCAGGATAGCATAGAAAAGGATGACTCTGGATAATTTCAAGCAGGTGCCCAGATCTAGCCAGGATGTCAGCAAGCATATTAATTTGGGATTTAACAAATTCAGTTCCATAGACACGCCATCCCTTATTCTCGTATATTCCCAAACAAAAATCCATCTCTCTACAAGGAAATCATGTTGTGTTCTGAAGTGATAATACAATTTCCAGCCTGTCCCAACTTCCTGTAAAGAAACTTAATTTGGAGATAAACCTGATATTCTAATTCCCATTAGAAAATTTAATTCTCTCAGTGTCTCTCTTCTTCTAATCGAACCATGCCAGCTGTTTGATGTCTTGGGGGAGCTGGGGAGGGAGGAGGGAGGGAGGAAATTGAAAATGCTTATTTGAAATTTCCACATCTGACTTTCAGAAAACATCTACGGCAATGGAATAACTTCATATTTAGTCTGAATCTTCGTAACTTTTTTTTTTCCCTTAACTTGGGCTGAAAAAATGGATAATAGACATGAATTTCTGGCCACGCTAAACCAATGGCTAGAGTACAACTTGGATGAGAAATGTACAGTTGAAATTGACCATTTAAAAGACGATTTGTCACACACAGTTTGCATCCATGCAGACTGATAGATTTATAATTACATTATGTACAAAAATGTATTAGTTTATTAAGGCAACCACAATTTGGATTCTTTGTCCAAGGTGGCTTGAAATAATTGGAGTGGCAATACCCTTAGAGCATTTCCATGGTTTTAACTTTGTTCCCTAGATAAGAACACTTACTTCCATTTGCTTTTAAGAAAGAATTAGCAAGAGATAATAGGCTTCTATTGTCTTGTTTTCTTATATCAAGATTTATGAAAGTTATTTTTATGAAAAATTCACATACTACGGCATTGCTAGACACTTGCAATTCAGGTGAATCTGGGGTTTCAGTTGAGGGGGATTTGTCAGTTATTCCATTTGCTGTGCGATATGAAAGCCTATTCTGTTTATTCTGCTTATATGTTGGATTTAAAAAAACAAAACAAAACAAGGAAACTGCCTGGGTCAGCATAGCCACGCATCTCTTGTGTACAATGAGAGCGATCCTTGGGACAGCATGCCGTGGGTGAATTTCCAACACAGGAACAGGAAGGTTTACATTAGTTAGGTACGTACCGAGAAAAAGAAGGCAGCAGCTAAGTTAATGAGAACACAGGTAAAGGTACAGTGGGCAAAGGTTAATGGGCAATGCTGTCTTAGTGTGCGTGTAGTGGAAGGGGCGTAGAGAAGACTATGAATGCCCGTCTACAGCTGTCTACCACCGCAATGCCACCTCCCGAGGACGCGATTCCACCTAAGAAACTGTGTCGTGCCCAGAAAGGTTAGGGTCATTTGAAGATGATGTTGGTGCCCCTAAGCCTAGCAGAGCTTTGAAACCGAGTAAATAAAAAACCAATTACAACAGACGTGAGTTAACAATCAAGCCAGTTGCGAATTCTGCACTTTTTTTTTTCCTCTCCCTTGGAATGTTTCCTAAATGGAGGTGTTTCCCTTTGGATCTCCCGGCCAGCAAATGAAATGGGATCCAGTGCGCACCTTGGACGCTTGTCGCTCAGGTGGAGGTAGGGAGGGCGCACCGGGGAGGCTTCTCTCCTAGATGGGTCTTCAGCTGCCTGTAAAGGACCTAGCGATGATGCTGGAGGCGGGGTACAGACAGACTTCTTTTTTGAAGGTGTCCCCTGCCTCTTGGTGGCTCGACCCCACCATCTGGCCTGATTCGGGCCTGCCCAGCTGCTGGAGAGAGAAGGGCGCTGGATCTCGGGCCCCTGCGCCCTCGCCGTGTGTCAGTGCCCCCAGCCCCAAGTTCACGTGCGCACGCCGCGCTAGGGAAGCACGTCGCTCTCACTGCCCCGGGACTTCCGGGGCCTCTTGGCCTTGACCTCTTCTTCGGTGGGCAGGGGCTGTGGCGGCGGCTGCTGCGGTGCCTGCGCGGGAGGCTGGGGTTTGTGTTTCCTCTTCCCGCCTCTGGGGGTCTTGGGTAGGGGCGGGGGCG